ATTCTAGATTGTTCAATCATTTCTAGTTCTTGGAATAAGGGCCTTCTTTTTGTTGACTCAAGATTGTTTTAACTGAAAAGAATAGAAAAAGCCACATAAACAGATCCAAGAAAAAATGAATTAATTGTCCTAACGACCGAAAAGTCCAGAGTTGTAGTTGTAGTTAGTCCATTTGATTCAGGATCAAAACTCAGGGACTAATTTCTCCTTTCTCTATCTCTGGGATTCACTTTGTGCTGGCTCTGTTTTCAGCTAGATGACTCCTCATGGTGACAAAAGAGCTGCAGAAACAGACATTCTGCCCTTCTCCCACGTTCAAATGTGGCTGGCAAGAGAATCTTCTTTCCAATAGTCCCTTTAAACATCCTGAGATCAACTCTGCTTGGTCTAGTTTAGATCGTATGCTCATCTCTGCACCAATGACTGTGATCATGGGAATGAGATAGTCTGCCTTACCTGTGGTGGAGCCCCATCAGTCAGGTGCTAAAGAGGTTTTATTTGATTCATGAGTTCCCCCTCTACACCCTGTCCCCCTACACACCTGCCTGCACATACAGCAAGATGACTGGTCCCCAACAGCTCCATCTCCCATCTTGATAGATGAGCAAACCTGGTGCAGAAAGTTCCTTTTCTAGTGGCTCCCACTACAGCCCTGGGGCTAATTCTTTCTGCCTAGATTTCCCTAAACCCAACATGGTCGCTCTCCCTGAGTCATATTCCTTCTTTGGAGCCAGGGGCAGGGTCAGTCTCATAGAGCCACAGAGTCTGAGGGTTGAGGAGGGGTAGTCCCTAAGGAAGAAGAATTGCTTACACCAGATAAGGGGGATGGATACTGTCAAGTGCAAATTTTGCTGTCCTTTCCAAAGGGGAACCCACCAGTTCTGAAAGCGTGCCTCCTCCTATTGGGCAGCCCAGCCTGCCATGCCCCCATCTTCCTCCTTGTGCCTCTTCCTGTTGGGCAGCCCAGCCTGCCACACCCCCATCAGCCTCCTTGTGCCTCTTCCTATTGGGCAACCCAGCCTGCCACACCCCCATCAGCCTCCTTGTGCCTCTTCCTATTGGGCAGCCCAGTCTGCCACGCCCCATCAGCCTCCTTGTGCCTCCCATTCAGAATCTCTCCATGCCATGGAC